ACTCCAAGGGCATTTAAATTAAAGGTACAGTGTTCTGCACTAATATAAAGTCTCTCTGAAGCCTAGAAACACCCTTTTATAAGTTAAATTCGCAGCGAATATATTCGACTTGACTCGAATCGAAATTTTTCCACCAATTCGCCGAATCAGTCGAATCGAATTTTTGAATACTTCGCTCATCTCTAATTGTCACGATAGTGCCGACTCGCCAGAATTTATAAAAGACACCAAACACACGCTGATGTGTCCGTACCAGCAGAGCACTTGCCGCATTTTGACAGTCTGACAGTTGACAGTCAAATGTAAACAATTGTGCTGTGATTGGCCAAAGCATTGCACCTGACCTGTGGGCAATCACAATGCACTGTGAGAGTGCAGTGCATTGTGGAATGCCCTTACCATTTTTGTGTTCGTCGAACACACGAATGGCCGATGTTCGAGTCAAACATATGTTCGAATCGAACATCAAGGCCATTACTAGTAGGTAGCATTCAGAATCTCGAATAGCAGCATCCTTCTCATTTTTAGTGTTTTGCAGTCCCCCAGGACTTATACACAATGCTACAGTGCCTGGCTACCACGCTTGGGCAGGAGTGAACTGAACACAGCAAACATGTACTTGGGGTTGACAGACAGGACTGCCAGTGGTTCAATGACAGTCCAGGTACAAAGCAGGCAAGGTTCAGGATAGTCAGAATCTGATCCATAGTCATAACGCAGGCAGAGTTCAGAGAGTATTCAATATCCGATCCGAGGTCATCAACAAGGGAATCCAAACTAGCAGAACAGGGCAGATAAATAGGGAGCTTGGGCATATGTAACCAGCTCAATCTCAAGCATGAGCCTGCAGGTCTGGCTCACTTAAATAAGGTTTGGTCTCTACCCAGAAACTGGCCACATCAATCACCCTGCAGGTAGACAGACAGACGGGGGAATGTGTCAGAGCCAAAACCAGGATGCTGGAATGAGACCAGCAGTTGCCAAAGAACAGGAGCATTTACATGCTCCTGAAAACATCTGGAAGGATTGTGAGGTCTGTGCCATCAAACTAAAGGGCCCCTTTCCCAATGCTTTCCATCCAAAATAGTATTGGATAGTAAAGAAACTCAATCTTCATGGTACATCTCTGGGATCTGGGGTCCTACTAGAAAGAATTCTGTGTCCTGTTGCTCTTAAGTATTCATCCCTGTTGTCAAATGTCAGGTTTTGCCTGTGAAAGAAATCTCTTTTGCTTGTTGTTTTTCTTTTTTTTAAGTTTGGGCATCAGGTAGGAAGCAGTCAAAGCTGTTTTCTGAGGTTGCTTTGCATGCTGGTGTAGAGCTCAGCTTAGATGAGTCTTCATGCCACCATTGCTAGACAGCACCCATACTTTTGCATTTTTAACACAACATGTTTATGTTACTTTTTTAAAAATGTTGCTATTTGGCCTACATTTTTTCCTATTCTTTTTAAACAAAATGCACCACAAATTCACACAAAGGAAACGACATAGATTTATGTTCCATATCTCTTTTATTTTTTATGGTTCAATACATTTTATTAATGTGTGTTGCAAATGATATATGTCCACATTTGAAGCAGTTTTTAAAGCGAGCATACATATAGTAGCATATCTGCTTACATAAAGTAATTAGAAATATGTCATACAAGGTTTAAATATAACAACAGTAAAGCTTATTCGATGCATAACATGTAACTCATTCAATAAAGGAGTGAAGGGAAGTGGTGAAACAGAAAAAAGGAGTAGAAGTGAACAGATAGGATAGGAACTGAAAATGGTATACACACTCCACTCAACCTGGAGGGGGAGGGGTAAGAGGACCAGGTCATGTCCCACTTTTAAAGACCATGTAAATAGGCGCTTGAATTGCTGGGGGGACAATGCATAAACCAGGCGTATCAGATAGCTGTATACTTCTCCATAGTATCAGTGATTCTAGCTTCTGTTTTTCTCATGAAACATAGACTGGGTCACTCTATCCAGTGGAGCTGCATTTTTGTTTTTAGTTAAATTTAGCTTGCATCACTGTACTCATTGTGGCTGCAATTCTAGGTTAGGTTAAATTTAGTTCTAGCTCACTGTACTCAATGTAGCTGTATGTAATTGTTTAGGGTCTGCTCTGTGTCTCACAGGCTGCATATTTTTACTGCTCTCACTTTTTATCTCCAGAGCTACCTGAACAGTTCTGAAACATACTGTAGGTGTGGAGTAATGTGAATGAATATTTATGCAGTCCTAGCCAATCTTTGTGAGCCCTGCACAAGTGGCTGCTGAAAAATGGGTATAAATGGTCTGAGATCTAGCGCCTGCTTGTCTTGTCCTGGATAGGAGGAGTCTAGCCTAGCAGGCCTGCTGCCCTATGGGCAGCCTTGCAGCATGCATGTTTTTCGTAAGGCCTCAGTTGGGCTAGCTAAGAAGCCTGGAAGTTGACTGAAGGACTGGCTCTTGTTGGATCTGGTTTGGGATCACTGGTAGAGGTGTCTGGAGGTCAGGACATTTGAAGGAGGCATCCATTCGTCTGAAGACATTTGTGTGTACAGGCTGTGTGAGAGATCCTAGAGACTGTGGGCTGCTGCTACCTCTCTGATGCTACAGCTCCAGAGTCAGCTGAGAGTGCAGGAAAATAGGCTCTCGAGTGTTATCCTGAAAAACTTAGTCCATCTTGTTCTGTGTTAAAGGGACTCTGCACAAGTTGCTTAAAGAAAGAAGTTTGTGCCTTTATCTGCTTCAACTAAACTAAGTCCATTACTGGCCCATATGAGAACTGTGCTTAAAGTGATGTAGAAGAAAGTTATTGTCCTCATCCTGTACATAGTTCTTTTTTGCAGCATCCCATTTATCCCCAATCCCTATCCAAGTTATCCCTAACTGCTGGCCCCTATGGGAGTACCGGCTACACAAACCAGAAAGTTTTACACATAAAAATGCACTCTGAGGAATCAGGGGAATGGCCTGGCCTATAAGTCTAGTAAGAAGAGTAAAAACAGCAGACCAAAATGATGAGCCACAGAGCAGATGCACCAAGTATGATAGAAGTTTCTCACTTGTCCACATCCACGAAAGCATAAAGGTGAATAACCTGGTATGAAGCGTACGACTCTTTCAAGGACCATATACCATCTTGCTATCACTTTGTATTTAGTCTCAACTGACAACATATGCCTGAAACTGGACTTAACTGGACTTAACTGTTTCCCAGATTTGGTTACATTTTTCTTCCTTGATACAGGTCCCTAAGTTGTTATTCCAGTGTTGAGTACATTTCAGAAGGTAAGATTGGGAAGTTGATATTAGTAGAGCTCATACAAATGATATCATGCCAGAGTGTGTTGATCGTCTCTGCATCACTGTTCAAAGGGGATCTTTGGTAACTTGTATAGTACAGATAAACACCTGTGGCTTGGATCAACCTAAAAGTTTTGTACATACTGAAAAATAGAACGTGAATGATATGCTGGGAGCAGCAATGGGTTATGAAAAATCGACATGAGGGGCTTATGAGGGGACAACTGGCCTTCAGAGTATCTCATATGGAAGAAAAAATATTTTTGAAATATATTTTTAAAATATTCTTCCCAAATATATTGACATATATTTGAAATGCTACAATTTTGGCCATATTCAATATATTTCAAAATATATTTCAATCAATATACCGTATTTGCCGGCGTATAAGACGACTGGGCGTATAAGACGACCCCCCTACTTTTCCTGCTAAAATGTAGTGTTTGGGCTATACTCGCCGTATAAGACTACCCCTCTTCCAATGCACACCAGTGGGAGGAATAGTGCCCCATCATTGATGTCAGTGGGAGGAATAGTGCCCCATCATTGGTGTCAGTGGGAGGAATAGTGCCCCATCATTGGTATCAGTGGAAGGAATAGTGCCCCATCATTGGTGTCAGTGGCAGGAATAGTGCCCCATCATTGGTATCAGTGGCAGGAATAGTGCCCCATCATTGGTGTCAGTGGGAGGAATGGTGCCCCATCATTAGTGTCAGTGGGAGGAATGGTGTCCCATCGTTGGTGTCAGTGGGGGGTGGAATAGTGCCCCATCGTTGGTGTCAGTGGGGGGTGGAATAGTGCCCCATCGTTGGTGTCAGTGGGGGGGGAATAGTGCCCCATCGTTGGTGTCAGTGGGGGGGAGGAATAGTGCCCCATCGTTGGTGTCAGTGGGGGGGAGGAATAGTGCCCCATCGTTGGTGTCGTGGGAGGAATGTGCCCCATCGTTGGTATCAGTGGGAGGAATAGTGCCCCATCATTGGTATCAGTGACACCAATGATGGGGCACTATTCCTCCCACTGAGACTTGCTGACCCTGTTCTCGTATGGTGCTGCTGCAGCCAGCATATGTGGTTGCAGCAGCATCTCTACACAGAACACTTACCTGCTGCTCCGGCACTCAATTTTCGCGGGGCCGCTCGGCTCCGCCCCCTCGCCGGTGATTGGCCGCCTGTGTGCCTTTCCTGAGCTACAGTTCTGGCGGCAATCACCGGTGAGGAGGCGGAGCCGAGCAGCCCGCACGAACATCCAGTGGCCGAACTGAAGGAGACGCCGCGCTTCCTGGACCGGATCGTCGTGGGACTGGATCCAGGTAAGAGACATCAGCCCCTGCAAACCCCTGTACTTAATGCCGCAGCCCCCCTAACATGTGTACCGGCGTATAAGACGACCCCCCGACTTTTGAGAAGATTTTCAAGGGTCAAAAAGTCATCTTATACGCCGGCAAATACGGTATATATATATATATATACTGCATGTTGAAATGCGTTTTTATTACAAAATATATGAAAAATATTTTTAAAAATACATTTCAAATACACTGTATGTGTTTAACCACTAGCCTACAGGGCACTTATACCCCCTTCCTGCCCAGGCCAATTTCCAGCTTTCAGCGCTGTCACACTTTGAATGACAATTGCGCGGTCATGCAACACTGTACCCATATGACATTTTTATCAATTGTTTGAGACAGATAGAGCTTTCTTTTGGTGGTATTTAATCACCGGTATGCTGTGTCCCTCGGACACAGCGGATCAGGGAAAGAGCCGAAGATGTCGGCTGGGTCATGTGATCAGCTGTGTCCAATCACAGCTGATCACATGTAAACAGGGAAATGCCGGTTATTGGCATTTCTCTCCTCTCGAGCTGTCAGGCTGAGGAGGAGAGCCGGTAATCGGCTTTCTATGGAGGGGACATGTACACTGATCATCAGGGCACTGATGATCAGTGTGCCCTGATGATCAGTGTAGCCCCAGCAGTGCCACCTGTCAGTGTCCATCAGTGCCAGCAGTCAGTGCTCATCAGTGCCACCTGCCAGTGCCCATCAGTGCCAGATCAATGCCACATATCAGTGCCTACCAGTGCACATCAATGCCACATATCAGTGCCCATCTGAGCTGCCTTTCAGTGTCACCCATCAGTGCCAGTCAGTGCCACCTATCAATGCCAATCAGTGCTGCCAATCAGTGCCGCCTATCAGTGCCAGTCAGTGCCGCCTATCAGTGCCACCTAACAGTGCCAGTCAGTGCTGCCTATCAGTGCCAGTCAGTGTCACCTATCAGTGCCATATATCAGTGCTGCCTTTTCAGTGCCCATCAGTGATGCCTGTCAATGCCCATCAGTGCCACCTACCAGTGCCTCCTCATCAGTGCCCATCAGTACCACCTATCAGTGTCCATCAGTGCATCTTATCAGTGGCCATCACTACAGCCTCATTAGCGCACATCAGTGAAGGAGAAAAATCACTTATTTACAAAATTTTATAACAAAAACTAAGAAAAACTTTTTTTTTTTTCAAAATTTTCAGTGGTTTTTGGTTTGTTTAAGAAAAAATAAAAAACCCAGAGGTGATTAAATACCACCAAAATAAAGCTCTATCTGGCACAAAAAAATTATAAAAATTTCATATGGGTGCAGTGTTGCATGACCGCGCAATTGTCATTCAAAATGTAACAGCGCTGAGAGCTGGAAATTGGCATGGGCAGGAAGGGGGTATACGTGCCCTGTAGGCAAGTGGTTAAAATATATTCTTCAGATTTTTTTAACATATAAAAAAAAGTAATTTTTTTTGTTTACAAACGGTTTTATTGCATAAAAGTAGACTGTAAAACAACAGCATATTTTCAAATGATATTTACAGCAAAAACAAGGCACTTTTGAAAAGTACAATACAGAAAGTATATTAATGTAAGAGAGAGAAGAAATAGAAAAGAGTAGAATGCAAGTACATGAAATACGTTAATGATAAGGTAGGTTGAATGATACTTCTGTCAACAGTATATGCCAGTCAACTTTCACTGGAAATGTTGTTAATCATGCAATAAATGTCTATAATTCCTCCATGACTCCCATTTTTTATCAAATAAGTGCATCTTATCCAGTAGGGTATAATGAATGTGTTCCATGAGCATTACAGCGTCAATTCTGTGTAAAACGGAGGCCAAGGGTACAGCATTGGACCTCCAATGTAAGGCAATAGACCATAAAGTGGCAATACATATAGTATGTATCAATCTCATAATGGCATCAGAGACCCCTGGGATATGAGCCCCCAATAGACAGGTCTGTATAGACAATCGTACCGGGGTACCCGCCAGTGAGGTAGCCACCTCAGATATCTTGCACCAAATCAAAGATATGGTCGGGCAATCCCAAACTATATGAACCAAAGTACCTGTGAGGCCACAGCCCCAGAAACATAAATTGGACATTTGTGGGAACAGTACATGTAGTCTTGATGGGGTGTAATACCATCTGGTTAGAACCTTAAGGGCCTTCTCACGAACAGAAAGAGATCTAGAACACTTACATATGTTATCCACCATGGAATCCCAATCCTCATCTGAAAAAGTGATACCACTATCCTCCTCCCAGTTTTGTCTGTATAAAGGGGGTGTATGAAAAAGACAGATCAAAGATTGGTGATAAAGATCAGAAATAAGACCCCTACCCCTAGGAGAGTCACGGCTGGTACGTTCAAAAAAGGAAATCGGAGAAGATGGTATAAGGCCAAAGTGTGAATTAAAAAAGTGTCTAATCTGTCGGTAACGATGGTACTCACGTACAGGAACATCAAAAAGCACGTGCAGCATATCAAAGTAATGTAAGATCCTCCTCTTTGAAAATCAGATAATCTGATAAAAGATCGATCATACCACCAATGAAACGTTTGAGGAGAAGAAAAAGCTGCAACAAAAGTAGGATCACCAAAAAATGAAATACCCAAGGGAATAAGAGAGACCAGATTCAATTTAAAATTTGTATTTGGACCAAAGTGTCAGTGAATGGGTCACTATGGAGTTACTGTATGAAAAGTAAGCGATCGAGGGGAGATTTTGGACCGCAAAATACCCGGTAAATAGAATGGGCGTATAGACTGAGATTCAAACTTGATCCATGGGATCTGAGAGTTAATAGTTGCCCATTGTGATAATTGTGCAAAACGAGCTGAGAGGTAATATAGCCAAAAATTGGGAAGACCGAGACCTCCCGTCCGTTGTGAGCGGTACAAAATAGATGAAGCAAAACGTGGAGGCTTATTACCCCAGATAAAATTGTTAATAGTCCGCTGAAAGTGGTCCAAAAACTTTTTCGAGACCGGAACTGGAAGTGCTCTAAAAAGATAAAGTAGTTTAGGCAAAATATTCATTTTAATCACCGTGACTCTACCCAGAAAGGAAATGGGGTAACCATGCCAAATCTTCAATAGAGTAGAGAGACGTGATACACATGGTGGATAATTAGCAGCAACCATATCCGAGTATCTGGGAGTGAGATTAATACCTAAATAGGATATCCGATCCGTGGCCCAACGAAATGGAAAAGAACCACGGAGAGATGCACTTAGGGAATCAGGAACATTAACAGGCATAACCACCGATTTGGTAAAATTAACAGTAAGACCTGACGCTATAGCAAAATCGTTCAATACGGCACATAAATTAGGCAATGAAGTTAACGGGTTAGTGAGAAAAAGCATAACATCATCATCATACATGCTTATTTTGAAATGTGAAACTAATAATGGGTAGCCAAAAATATCCAGATGTGATCTAATCGCTACTGCCAAAGGTTCCAACACCAGCGCAAATAAAAGGGGTGAAAGGGGACAGCCCTGACGGGTGCCTCTACCCAATGTAAAAAATTCAGAATTACAGCCAGGAAGCCTTATTCCCGTTTTCGGAGAGTCGTATAGGGCGTGTATACCAGCTAAAAACTCGTCACTGAAGCCCATTTTCTGTAGCAAAGAAAATAAATAGGGCCAAAGAACACTGTCAAAGGCCTTGTTTCTGTCTAGACTCATCAACAGAACCTCTTTAGAATGTAAATTGGCATCTTGAATAACATTTAGCGTGAGGCGAATGTTATCAGTAATGAATCTGTCAGGAATAAAGCCCGATTGGTCCGGAGAGACCAAAGAGGAGATAATAGGGGCCAACCTGTCTGCCAAAATACGGCTAAATATTTTCAGATCGTTATTCATTACTGAGATTGTTCTATAGTTCTGTGGTAGACAGTGGTCTTTCTGTGGTTTGGGTATTAAAGACATATTAGCCAACAGCATCTCCTCAGGGAACCTACCCCCCTGCAAAACATCATTAAATAAAGTTATCAAATAGGGAGCCAACGTAGAGGCAAATTTTTTGTTATAACTAGCGGTGAATCCGTCAGGACCCGGAGCAGTAGAGCTTTTTAGCGCTAATCGCACAAGTTATTTCCTCCAAAGTACAGGGGGCATTAGGAGAGGCAATCTGAGAAAGTGTAAGAGCAGGGAGGGGTATAGAATCCAGCCATGAGTCGGATGGTGGAACAGAATCCGACTGTGGAGGAGCTAAGAGGTTAGAATAAAAGTTTTCAAAAATACCCAAGACTTTCAGAGGTAAAGATGAGATAGCGTCCGAGTTAGTGCGTAACTTATAAACATGTGGGGGGCGCAGAGAGTGGTTTAATTTCCTTGCACACATAGTGGATGCTGAGTTGCTATGTAACAAAAAACAAGGCCTTCAACCAGCGGAGAGCTTTTTCAGTCTTTTGGGAAAGCAGAGTATTCAATTCTAAATGCTTTTGGGACAATAATTGTTTATTAAGAAGAGATGGATTAGCAATATGACTTCTATAATGTCCTTCTAATTCTCATTTTCTATTTCTGGATGAAGACATAGAGATAAGGCGACCACGTAGGACCGCCTTATGGGCTACCCACAGTGTGGCTGAAGATATATCAGGAGTCGAGTTAAACTGAAAATATTCCTGAATAGATGTAACCACCTCTTGGTGAGAGTCAATATCAGTAAGCAAAGAGTCATTAAGTCTCCAAGAGAAGGGGGTAGGTGCCAATCCCATACACGTGATAGATAAGGCCATAATTTTGTGATCCGACCAGGGGCTCAAGTGGATGCAAGCTGTCCTAGAATTAGCTAGTAAAATAGGGGTACAATAGATATAGTCTAATCTAGCATAAGAGTCATGTGGTTGAGAATAAAATGAATAATCCCTGGCTCCCGCATTGTGCCCCCTCCAGGCGTCCACCAACTGGAGGGCATCTAGTTTTTTAGTAAGGGATTTTGGGAAAGCCTGGGAAGAGTGCGAGGAGGAGCTGCGGTCCAAAAGAGGGTTTGCTACGAGGTTAAAATCACCACCCACCAATAGATGGGGGGACAAAAACCTATCCAGAACATCAAAAAATTTAGAAAAAAAGGGTTTGTGCCTAATTCGGTGCACAGACATTAGCAATCGTAAGTTTTCGACCTGAAAGGGTGCCTTTAAGAATGATAAACCTACTGTCCAGATCGCGATACACATGTTGAACCTCAAAGGGGAATGAATTTTGTAGAAAGATGGCTACTCCTCTACTTTTGGAGGAATGTAAGGTATAATACCCCTGCCTATAGGATTTATGGAAATATGTCAGGTGTTTTTGCGGCTGCAAAATGTGTTTCCTGTAATAAAATAATTTTAGCCCCTAGTCGCTTATTTTGGAGAAAGGATGTTTTGCGCTTATTTGGTGAGTTGAAACCCCGGACATTATGCAAAATACATTGAATCACCATAGTATACAAAAGTTATTGCTATCAGCATAAAAATACACATTGAAAAGACATCTCCAAGAATTCTTTGGCTAGACATAAGGACAGATGTACAGGCAGTAGTGCCAGTCTGGGGGACATCCAGACCCCAATATGGGGGTCGTGACGTCCACAAACCGGCATAAGGCCAACATCATGCGCTAAAGGTTTGAAAAGAGAAAAGACAAAAAACAATAGAAGTGAAGCTTAAATAGCTCCTACCATTAAGAGGGTAACTAAAAAACATGGATCAGGTAGGCAGTTCGCCATACATGAAAAAACAAAAAATTCAAATATCAAAGGGCCAAATGGGCCCAAACCCTGTCTCCGTAAAACATGGAAAACGGAGCTGCCACCCCACAATCGGGTGGTGACACCTCCGGCCATGGCGGCAGGGTGGGGTAACATGTTCAAGAGTTGTGAAACCATGAATTAATGGGCGGTACTAAGAGGGTCCGAAGACCCTTG